CAGTCATAGCAATCTGTCCGAGGTCAGCCCGGCGATTCTCCGATTTTGACTCCTCAAGCTTAGTACGAGTCTCCTCTAATTTGGTCTCCAGAGAACATATTTGTGCAGTAAGCGACGAGCAACGCTCTGAGAAATCAGACGATGCCTTCTGTTCTTTGCTTAGGTCCTCCAGCAACTGCTTTATTCTGCTGTCTGCCTCCGTAACGCGCTCATCTGAGAACGCTGAAGTTGTTTTCTGAAACGTTCGGTAAACGCTATTAGGTCTCCGTTACAGTTTAACAATGGAATTCAAATTCGCCCTGGGTGTCTGCAATGATACTCGCGAGTCAAATTTAACTTGCTAATTTAAACCACATACCGATTTTTTCTCAGAGGAATTTCGGAGGATTTCTAATTCGGTTTGAAGGTTAGCGTATAGCTCTTGGAGACCAGAATGTTCGGTCTCAATAGTTTTCAACTACAAAAGTCGTTTAATAAACAAGAAAAATACCCGTTCTATGTGAGTAGATGCATCCGCAAGGTCCTTGTTTACTTTGGAAAGCTGTGATTTTAGGGAAGAAACCAAATCTTCCTGCTCGGTGATCTGAAACAAAACATGCAGTTAGTCACATCCAAATAAATCAAATTAGAATGTTTTTCTGGATGACGTGAGACAGAAACCATACCTTCTTAACTAAATCGGTCCCTTTATTTGTAGCTTCGGTTAAGCGTTGCTCCAGCATCTTACATTGCTCCTCTTTACCCTTCAAATCTGCGACAATCTGCGACTAAAAAGTTCATAAAAGTGAGTCCAGAAAGAAGAACATTTTAAGAAATCAAGAACACATTACCACACTATTCATTATCGGCGTAATCTGAAAACCCAGTAAAGTCGGTAATGGCCTCAAGTTGTCATAGTAAAAGGCACTTACGATTGATACGGTACTGCCAGGCACCAGTAATTATCGAATAAACGATCGACTTACATCGTCGTGGTTGTTGTCAGCAAAAGATATGCCATTTTGAATCTTCTCCCCACATGCAGGACATGCTAATGGGTGATTGTCAGCCGAAACTAAAAAAGTCAAAAAGCGTTAAAAACTTTGAAGGCAGCAGCAAAAATCGCAAGAATGAATGTTATTTTACCTTGTTGTGGGTTGTTTGTATATTCGCTATCCTGTAATTTCGACATCAGTTGCTTCTGGAGATGATCGACCCGTTTCTCGGAACCCTCAAGTTTTAGACGTAGCTCGTTCGCCTGTGCAGACAAGAATCGGTTGGTTGTCCGGACGCTGTTTATGTCCGTTTGCCACCTTTCTGTTTCGGAACCACCCCGAACCACACGGCAACGGACGGACTCTAACTCTTTGTTGGCATATTCCAACTGGGAAATCTTGGAAGATAGTTCAGTAGATAAATCGGCAACGGCTCGCTCTTTCGTCTTCACCTTAATTATAAAATCATAGTACATATAAGTTTTTCTTCTGGACATATAAATTTGTTAGAATGGCTATTTAACAGATCAATTAAGTACACAAAAACTGTCAAACTTACTTCAGCGGCCAATTTGTCCAGTTGCGCAGATTTTTCATCAAAACGAGATCTCAGATCGAACAACTCGGAACGCTTGGCTTCGTTGTCCATTCGTAGTTGACTAAGAGCCGCCTGAAGCTCCGCAATACGGGATTTATCTGTCGGATCTCCCTGTGGTGCGGCCTAAAATAAACACCAGTAAATGCGTTATGAACGCCCAGACTTTATGACGAAAAGCGTTATGTTCTGAATAAAATACGGAAAATTTTGCGGAGTAATGTTGTAATATATAGTAAACCGCCTACATGTCTTGATCACCCCGACCCGACTAACTACGGGTCGGTGGGAGTGATTGGAGACTAATCTAACTTAAAATACTAAACCGCGTTGTTCTACTGGGAGCGGAAATTAAGATCTACTCACCGGCTTTGGAGGAGGAATGTTTGCAAGTTGTTCTTCGAGAGTTTTGATCTTGGCTTTCAGTTCAATGTTTTCTTGGTCCAGTTCGTCCATTTCAGTTTCAGCCCGTTTGCGGCGTTGATATTCTCGATCGCGTTTACCTCGCAACCGCTCGATCTCGATTTCAATTTCTGGTGGATAGCCACCTCGTCGCCGCGGAGCGTCGTCTCGAAGACATGCTAACTCACGCTTTAAAATGCTTACTTGAGCACTAAGGCTGGATCTTTCTACTTCGGCAGCCTCTAATCTGGAGGCTTTTTTGGATATTTCCTGAAAACAAAGTAGGATCGTACTTGAACATGTTTTTAAGCATATACGTACAACACTATGAATGACTTTGCTCACCTCATGTATTCGAAGTATAACATCCTCCCTGTAGGTTAAGAGTTGATTTAGTTCATGAACTTGGCTTTCCAATTCCAGAACACGAGAGCGCAGAGTTGCTGGGTCAGCATTAGCTAATTTTTCGAGATCGCTCGGGTCGGTCTTTTTTTCCTCCATTATCCACGGTGGAAGAGAAGGTCCAATTAACCTAGCGTTTGTCTACGCAAAATATGATAATGAATAGAACTTACGGCATCGTTCTTTGACCTTTCACCATGACCACCTTTTCGAACCTTTGCTTCGAGAGAAGAGCACTTCTCTCTCAGTTCACTGAGTTCCGTCTCGTTTTTAACGGTCTATACATAAAAGACAGAAGAGATCGGTTAGACCAAAACTGCTTAGTTTATTCCGCTGAATTATAGCCCCGGTAGTCAGTAATTCAGAACGCCGTCGTTAAGTTTCAATATAATGTTATTTCTCCTGGTCAAACAACAGGAACCACTATCTGCATGTATCGTGTTTAAGTGACGCTATCATTTAAGCTTGGTCATCTACTCTAACATAACGACAGACTGCCATCAGAGACAATTTATTGGAACTCGTGAGGATACGAGACATGTGTGTGCAAGAACTGAACGCCTATAGTACTATTACTTTGTAAATAGTAAATTTAACAAACGGAAGGGTTTGAAATACACCAAAGACAGAAAAACCCAATGGCTGACACTGATTTTCGCGCTGCATTGAGATAATCGAGCCC